CGACAATATCGCGCGCACCAGCTGTGAGGTGAAAGGTCAACGCGGCGCAGCTGGCTCCAGTCAGTACGGGTCGTGGCGCAAGTGGCGCCGAGATATCACTGCGTCCGTCATCACAGTGTCCCACATGGACACGCGGGTTATCAAAACGTGGTCCCAATTCCGCCGACGATTCGTATTTGGAAAATAAAGAAACAGCACTCGTATCCTCATCTGAATTGTGTTTATTGGCCTGTCGGGGATAAACGGCGTTAGACACCCTGACCTCTGATTTAGTTTCTCTTTTTCAGTGGACTGAAAATACAATTTTTATCAGAATTTATAAGAAGTAAAATATTCAATATTGAAAGGTTCTCTGTGCAATAAAGCAGTGCTCGTTATTCTAATCGAAGAAATAACACAAAACATTGTCCTTGACAGTAAGATCGTGGGGAATTTTTATGGAAGTATGGTCACTTGCAATATCGTGAAGGTGGCGGGAGAATAACATTCAAACGAGTTTTAAGAGAATTGCGTTGTTTGAATGGAAGGTGGGCAGAAATGGTTCAGGATCGTGTTCTTTGATGAGCGCTGATATTAACCTTCAGGCTCTGCTACTGGAGATTTAAATACAGTACAAGTTGAAGTCCGTTGTTTGCTGGGCTTAGCAAAAAGTAACTGAGTAGGCCGGTATCATGCGTTTTTCATACCACATAAATGTAATTATTGCATAATGAGGAGCTCGTATGTACGTATTTCTGCATGTTTCAACTACGAGTATTTCTATAAGTCTACACCAACATTTCTAAGCGGAATGTAGTTACATTTGTATCTGGGAAATACAAAACCTACTTTACTTCAACATCAAACCGAACTTTATCGACTGTCTCAAGAAAATTTTATCACAGAAAATAAATTATAAAGAGATCAAATAGCCTATTATTTCAAATGTCGTTAAGATCTGTGACTTTTCGCCAATAAGAAATATTATTCTTCACAATGCCCAGTAAATTTGATTTCATACCTCACGATAAAAAGAACAAATATCCCAGTATAACATTCATGCAATTTATTAGTTTTGCAGTTTAATTAGTCTGTATATTGCAGCAATGAAGATCAAGGCCAATGAAACATGCAAAATGATGCCGTTGCGCAGACTGAGGTCCCGTTTTGATGTACGCCCAACTAACGAAGCAAAATCAGCTGACGTCATGTAAGTATATATGAAGTTTGATATTTAACTTACAGCAAATGACTGAATGAATCTGGAAATGGAAGGTGACAAATATTCACTGCAAATAAAAAAATAATAATTTCACAAATTTGTACTTATAACTGGCCGAACGGGATGTGGCCTTACAAATGGCGATACGAAATGGCAGATTTTACTTTATTTTTTGTTACGTCCTTTTATTGCCATGGTAACCAGTTTATAAGTAGCTGTCTGCCTCATTACGATAGGTGTGATTAAACAGTGTCGGATTTGGGATTTTACATTGATATTCTAGACGGAATTCGAATCTTAAGTCCAAGCAATTTTATCGCAGCGCCCCGAAGGAGTGTTCTTTTCACATACAAATACATAACGGCGTGCAACTGTAAATCAGCATGAGGTAATTCCGCGACATCCCACTTTATTAGATTTCGGTATTTACTATTCTGGCCCGGCACAGTTTTGTCACACCTTCAACTCTTGGATTTAAAGGTCCATTAAGACGGCCTTCTTATTAAGGCAAACAACTCCAACTTTTACGGTTTCCGTTTCGAAAACATCGTTCAAGTGTATAAGAAGTAGCGTGATGAATATCCTTAAAATGGTTTCCAATTCATTTCCCGACAACTTATTCTTAACAATTCCTTTTAAAGGTTGTGCAGAATGTCTTATTCTAAATCCAAATTAAGGTGTCAAGTACGTTTTTATTTTTACCACACAAAGAAAGCAAATAACAGTGACCGTGCTCTGTATGGCGTGGGAAATGGATTTATAATTTCGAAGGTCATTCTGAGTTAGGACAAGCCACAAGGTCTTCTCCGTAAAAATTATAAGACGACAAAAGCAAACAACGTACTATGTAAAAGCATAACAGTTTGCTGGTGCCAATAATGTTTTTATTTTATTTTATTAGTATGGAGAGTGGGAAAAACCACGAAGAGCCTCGGTTACTACAGTGGGCGACGCGAAGGCATTGGTACACCAACTCATTAGAAAAAGAAATTGCCAAAGGAGATCCTAATGAGGACTCTAAAGCCTATACATAGGTTCTAACCGTTGACAGTACACCCATAATTTATCCTACATATTTCGAATGGCGAGAAAAGGAATGAATATTTCCGAGAGTCTGCTTACGAAACAAGCATTTCTAATAGGACGGTGTCTGTCTTCTGGGATGTAGCGCCGTGTTATCTGGTAGAAGTTTGCCAGTGTTTCAGGCGTCCCTACTGCCTGGAGCATTCAGACAAAACTACCGTGGCCGATCACAGCGTCAAACTGAGCCACCGCATTTATCTTCAGGACACTATCATCCTCTGCACGAAGCAAAGATACAAGGACCAGACGACCAGAGAGGCCAATGAGGTCGAGCTACACTCCAGTCCTTGACTCGTCTCCCTGATGATGGAGGCAACTAGGACTTCTGGAACGTTTTTAAATTTCTACTAGACTCTACGGTGCTACAACCCAGAAGACAGCCATCTTCGTGCCCACCACAGTCAAAACCTGAAATACTATTAATAAGAACATCACAGCATCAACGAGAACTGCATATTTCATGAGAACATATAAAATATAATGTATCGTTTGTATTCTTCACCAGGACGGCTATGGGGCCTCCCGACGGGTACCAAGGGATCTTTTCCTGACACATTTAGCGGCCTAAACGTAAAGCTGACTGACTACTCACTTCAATCCATTTTGAGTTTCTTCACCTCGAAGCTCTTACACACCTTAATGACACGATACTTCGGTGCACAGGCGACACATTGTTTTCTGGATTCTCAGTATCCGTTATATTTGTTGCCTGTAGTCTGCTAGTAACCACCGACTTATTTATCAGAATCCCGCCTGATGAAAAAAATTGTACGCTACTGATTTCACCAGTCGATGTGGCGTCGTTAGATAACCAAAGAACTTCACACGTACTGGATATGACACTTTGGACAACACTGGAAATATCGACTCTGATGTTGGGCGATTTGTGGGTAATCCAGTCCACTTGTCCAACCAGTTGCTGATACGGAAAAATTGAACCATTGCTGCCGCCTCGAAATGAAAGTTGTTTGCAGCGACTGGTAGACCCAGGGATAACAGCCCCGTGCCTTCACTGTTTTATGACTTACGATATCCGCTGTTTACAACAAAGAAGAAATATTTTTTTTCAGAAGCTAATAACGAGATTTATATAGAAATAAATTCAGAGGAAGCTCAGAGGGTCTAATTTAAATTCTGTTGTCAGGCCACCAGAATGCGGGACCATATAATAACAGACCTATGAACTCGGGCTATAAATTCTTCGAAAATGTGCCAGTTAATAAGTAGGGTACTGTTGAAAGGCAGAAAGAAATAACAATTACTTTAATGAAAAAGTTTAAAGCAGATTAAATTACGAAAATGCTTGCTAATTTTAGTTCAGAATCTCCTAACTTCCCGAGTGTTATTTGTAGAAACTAAATGACAATTTTAGCTGTTTATATGGGCGTGAAACTCTCACATAAGAGAATGACGCAGATGACTGTGGGAATTTTAGAATAAAATGCTCACATATTATTCAGAGTACCGTAACTCATTTAGACGTAAGGGGAAAAAAAATCACAGGAAGGTGGAGACAACTGCAACCCACAGTTAATGCACAGCTTCATATTTTGTACCCTTCTCCTAATACTGTTCAGGTGGATGAATGATGTTATGGCTGGTCTGAAATCGGAAAGGGAGGAAGCCAATGGGGAGAATGGAAAGTGTGATTGAAAATAAAGCCGCACGCACTCACTGTAGTCTTCGAATCTAGAGCTTCGCGCTCCGGCCACTTTACACTTGGTGACGAACATCTTTAGGCAATAGACCTCAGTAAGGGAGAAGACGACTGGTAGGGTCCCAGAGATGGCCTGGTCTGATATCTTAGTCTTAACAAATTGACTATCAGACATCGGCAGAGGTCGGTTCATTATATTTTGCTTTTATCCTCCATACACATTCATAATAAGGCGTTCAGACACAGCGGCACGTTTTGGACCCAACAGACATGAAGCGATATGAATCTGGAGAAAAATACATACCTAATGATTAACTCCATAATTTATATACCCTTTATCAAACGTTTGTAGGAAAGTCAAACGTAATAGGATGAATTGGGCGGGGTGTGTAGCGTAGAGGGGTGATGAATACATTCACAGTTTTGGTTGGCAAGACTGAAGGAAAAGATCACTCGCAAGACATAGACAGAAATGGGAAGATAATGTTAGGACGGATTTTAGGAAGACAATGCGAGTGTGGATTGGATTAATGTAGCTCATGTCAACATGGCAACGAACCCTTCCGTTCCATATTACGCAATAATTTTTTGACTAGCTGAACGGCTATCTGCTTCTCAAGAAGGACTCTAATACACGAGTTGGTTATTGAGAAATGTTTGTTCACCCGCAAGAACTGGGCACTTCTTCCCCAATCGTCTGCGCCCTCAGCTCTGTTCTTACGAGACAGACTATCCGAAGGCCGTCTGCGATGTCCTGCCTCTTATATCAAAATATATTCATTGTTGGACTGTTTGGAAAATATTTTCTGACGTAAGAACGTTGGTTAACTCGCATTACGCTTCACAGATGTCTCTGCAACCAACTCCTGTAGTTGGCGGCTTTCCCCCTCTTCAAACAAGCAACAACATCCTACTATTGGCTACAGCTGTGTGAAACTCCGCCTCCCAGTCAACCGTATTGCTTCTTGACTGGACCTTAGTTCGTACGTCACAATATCGAGGGAGTGGAACAAAATGTTATGAGGGGAAACCGAGGGTATGTATAGCTGTGACAATGAAGAGGGGATTTACTTCTTAACCGTACTTCGTCTTCGTTTGTTGTTTACAGCAAAGTTGCTGATATTGCATACGAACAGTGGAGTGTATTTCTGAGTTTAATTATGAAGGCTATAACAGCGGTTTGTGCGTCAGGTGCTACGAGTGTTGGTGGAGTAACGTCGGGCCGCGTGCATCGACAGAGGCGCGACGTTGAGAACGAGGAAATACAGATGTACTTATCGAAGTTGAAAGAACTTGTACCGTTCATGCCCAAAAACAGAAGATTATCGAAACTGGAAGTGATCCAATATGTCATAGACTACATTTGTGATCTGCAGTACGCCCTGGAGACGCATCCTTCCGTTGTGACGGCTGTTGGTAACGTCACAACTGCAGTTACCACTACGACAACCACAACAGCGGCTTCACCTGTTCAGAGGCTTTCAAATTCCACGACTGTCAACAGTGGTGCTCCAGTGAGCCCCAGGCAGCCCCTTGGGGTTCTAGCGCCCAACACGATAGTCCCCAATACATCGTGCGCCACACAGGAACAAATCTCGACGGTGAGTCCCATTTAATTCACAAGTTTACCTGGTCACATCTCTATTCTAGAGCAAAAGAATATAGGTTTCGTTTCTAAATGCAATCACATGAAAGCGGACACGCATAATTTTTCCCATTGTTGACATGGCTAATAAACCCTGGATATATATTCTGTCTTTTTCCATCTAGTGCCGAGGTCATGGATATGTGGAGCTATAGTTCTCTTCTCTGTTCGTCTTAATGGCGTAGTGATTAATTAAGCACCAGGGAATGTGCTTTTAAAGCGCAAATTATTTGTATGTCTCATTCATATTTAATTGATGTTCCGAAATACACAATGAAGACTTACGTAGCCTACTATTTTCTAGTAGAATGGGCCATTTTTAGAAATGGTATAAAACTGATTCTTGTGACACGTGAGGTTAGGGTAAAGTAGAGTTTATTGTACAGACACAGACTTCATTGCACCCAGCCACTTTTAATGTTGATTACATACAAAGTTTTAACGCAGTGCGTTATGTAATTTGGGTGATACGGACACATTCTGGGAATCATTGTAGTGTATATGTTACGCAAAGCTATTGTTTTATTAGGGAAATATTCCTCCCCCAGTATTGTCAGGGTGATTAAGTCGAGAAGAATGAGATGGGCTGGGCATGTAGCGCGCATGGATGGGACAAGAGGTGTGCACTGGGTACTGGTTGGGAAACCTGAAGGGAAGAGACCGCTGGGGAGAACTAGATGTAGATGGGAGGAAAATCTCAGGCGGGATCTATGGGAGATAGGAGTTGAAGGAGACTGGATTTTGTTGGTCCAGGACAGGTGGAGGGCTTTGGTTAATTCGGTGATGAACCTTCGGGTTCGGTAAGCCATCTAGTTAGTTAGTTAGTTAGGGAAATACAAACGTCACAGACCTATTCGCTTCGAAAGGATAGGAAGATTTAAATGAAACAACTTTTGGTTTACTTCCGGTATTCAGTTATCCTATCTCAAACCGGAACTACACAGCTGTGACGAAGACTTTTTATTACAGCGCCACTTGGGACTACACGAGCCTTTTCTCTGCCCAGTGCCTCAGAACCGAATGGTAACCATATGTGCCACCTGCTTTAACAATCACTAACTCTGCATTTTGAATCGAGGTTTCGTGCAATTCTCACTGCGAAGAATCTTTATTTCGTTAAACAGCATCAACCTTTGGTTTTCGTCGAGAGAGAGAGATGTTGTGTTTTCTTTGAAGTACGGACTGGTTTTTACGAAATTGGCTTCAAGGGTTTAATTGGAAGAATTGCTTTCCATGTGTTTCCATGTTTCGTTTGTGACAGATCCAGTCAACGTTTATTAATATTGGTCTAAGCAGTGTTACTGATCAGTGAATACATTTTTTGACCTATACTGTACCGCACTGCAGCTGAGTATGCATCCTGCTGGGTGATTGACAGTGAACCATGTCGGTAAAGTAAAATTTCCCTACTTGGTCCCTTTTACGAAAAATTAATAGTATTTGGGGGGCTGTCCAAGTCAGCGCACTAATTGTTATAGCAACACGGAGAATCCTTTGATATAGGACTGCAAAGTGGCAGATAACACGAACAATTTCATTTTAACAAATTGATTGTAAGAAAAACACTACATTATTGATAAATGGGTTTGAATGATCATTTACGATGAATTGTTGTTGCAATCATTACCGAAAAGTGTATATAGCAAAGTGTAACACGCGAAGACATTTCATTATTTAATTTACGGTCTGTACGGTGTGTTGAAAGTTTAATTGGCATACAATTAAATAATAACTTGCACTTTCAACAACTTTGCTGAAACATCATACGTATCAGAAACCACAGTTTCGTCGGTCGTATTTCTCAAGGCCTCGTCTTCGAACTTCGTATTTAAAGTTTTTTTTTTTATAATTTGGAATCAGCAGTGGGCCCTGTCAATTCTGTGTATCGGAAAGCCAATAGTACTGCCATATTTTGCCTTTGAAGACAGTTGCACTGTTTCTAATGGTTGCGAACTCTCCGGGGCAGGACGAGCAGTTATCTGAGCGTGCACACCTGTGTCCTGGTTTTCTTGCTGTTCGCGTCCATAACAGCGCAGTTCTTGGCACGGTACAGTGGCCGCGCACCTGGTAGAGGGACTTAAGGCTGCTCCTTACCCTGAGTTCCGTACCCGTCACGGATTACAGCTCTTTCACCATTTAAAGGGCGAGAAGAGAGAGTTTGATACGGACAGACAGGCTATCCGGATTGTGCAGTAGATACGCTTCAGTAAGTCCACTAGCGTAAGATTCAGTTGCGAAATACAAGCTTATGCGTAAAGGAAGAGGCTCATTCAAACTAAGCATTTTGTTCGTGAGAATTCCCCAATACTGCATTCCCTTGAGGAACTAACAGTAAGAATTCCCTGCCTTTATGGAACCCGAATATTGAGGTACCTCACATAGTAGTATTATTTTAGGATGCACTTTAATATTATCCACTGATGTGCGCCTACATTCACCAAGCCGCCCCTTTCCTTCTGAATTTTTATTGAAAACTTCATTCGTAGCCCATGCCCCACCCATCTCATCCTCGTTGATTTTATACTGTTTTTTTTTTCTATTTCGCGAGGAGTGCAAATTAGGAACTTCTTGTACAATTCTAACAGACTACAGATTTCAGATTTTCGGAGACAGAAGGTTAACGAGCCCCCTTAATCAGGCACGCCTGCAGCAAGAAACCATTATTTTGGTCTTCTGGGCTATTTGGATTCCTCAGCATTCACGTGTCAAAATACCACGCATCAGTGCGACCGGCGAAAAGCGTTTTTTAGGTGGTAATTAATAAGTAGGATATGGCCGAAGTGTTGGTCCCGTTCATTGATACTTAACAGGCTGTCTGACACTGAAATGAGCAGTCGTTCAGAATCCCGGTATCGTTGTCAGTTAATGTCAATAAATCCAGCGAACACTTGTGACTTTTGATACAGCAGACTGTACTCTGATGCAGAAATATGTAATGCAACCCGTTTTACATATTCCCATTATCTCCAGTGACTCACTGCTTGGCCAGGCATCACCGTTTTCACAAAAGCAGTTTATTTTGATGTTGAGCTAGTTCGGTCCTCGTGTCTTCCGCGTTTTTACGAAATTGGCTTCAAGGGTTTAATTGGAAGAATTGCTTTCCATGTGTTTCCATGTTTCGTTTGTGACAGATCCAGTCAACGTTTATTAATATTGGTCTAAGCAGTGTTACTGATCAGTGAATACATTTTTTGACCTATACTGTACCGCACTGCAGCTGAGTATGCATCCTGCTGGGTGATTGACAGTGAACCATGTCGGTAAAGTAAAATTTCCCTACTTGGTCCCTTTTACGAAAAATTAATAGTATTTGGGGGGCTGTCCAAGTCAGCGCACTAATTGTTATAGCAACACGGAGAATCCTTTGATATAGGACTGCAAAGTGGCAGATAACACGAACAATTTCATTTTAACAAATTGATTGTAAGAAAAACACTACATTATTGATAAATGGGTTTGAATGATCATTTACGATGAATTGTTGTTGCAATCATTACCGAAAAGTGTATATAGCAAAGTGTAACACGCGAAGACATTTCATTATTTAATTTACGGTCTGTACGGTGTGTTGAAAGTTTAATTGGCATACAATTAAATAATAACTTGCACTTTCAACAACTTTGCTGAAACATCATACGTATCAGAAACCACAGTTTCGTCGGTCGTATTTCTCAAGGCCTCGTCTTCGAACTTCGTATTTAAAGTTTTTTTTTTTATAATTTGGAATCAGCAGTGGGCCCTGTCAATTCTGTGTATCGGAAAGCCAATAGTACTGCCATATTTTGCCTTTGAAGACAGTTGCACTGTTTCTAATGGTTGCGAACTCTCCGGGGCAGGACGAGCAGTTATCTGAGCGTGCACACCTGTGTCCTGGTTTTCTTGCTGTTCGCGTCCATAACAGCGCAGTTCTTGGCACGGTACAGTGGCCGCGCACCTGGTAGAGGGACTTAAGGCTGCTCCTTACCCTGAGTTCCGTACCCGTCACGGATTACAGCTCTTTCACCATTTAAAGGGCGAGAAGAGAGAGTTTGATACGGACAGACAGGCTATCCGGATTGTGCAGTAGATACGCTTCAGTAAGTCCACTAGCGTAAGATTCAGTTGCGAAATACAAGCTTATGCGTAAAGGAAGAGGCTCATTCAAACTAAGCATTTTGTTCGTGAGAATTCCCCAATACTGCATTCCCTTGAGGAACTAACAGTAAGAATTCCCTGCCTTTATGGAACCCGAATATTGAGGTACCTCACATAGTAGTATTATTTTAGGATGCACTTTAATATTATCCACTGATGTGCGCCTACATTCACCAAGCCGCCCCTTTCCTTCTGAATTTTTATTGAAAACTTCATTCGTAGCCCATGCCCCACCCATCTCATCCTCGTTGATTTTATACTGTTTTTTTTTTCTATTTCGCGAGGAGTGCAAATTAGGAACTTCTTGTACAATTCTAACAGACTACAGATTTCAGATTTTCGGAGACAGAAGGTTAACGAGCCCCCTTAATCAGGCACGCCTGCAGCAAGAAACCATTATTTTGGTCTTCTGGGCTATTTGGATTCCTCAGCATTCACGTGTCAAAATACCACGCATCAGTGCGACCGGCGAAAAGCGTTTTTTAGGTGGTAATTAATAAGTAGGATATGGCCGAAGTGTTGGTCCCGTTCATTGATACTTAACAGGCTGTCTGACACTGAAATGAGCAGTCGTTCAGAATCCCGGTATCGTTGTCAGTTAATGTCAATAAATCCAGCGAACACTTGTGACTTTTGATACAGCAGACTGTACTCTGATGCAGAAATATGTAATGCAACCCGTTTTACATATTCCCATTATCTCCAGTGACTCACTGCTTGGCCAGGCATCACCGTTTTCACAAAAGCAGTTTATTTTGATGTTGAGCTAGTTCGGTCCTCGTGTCTTCCGCAAAGTATTACTTTTAATACTAACCTTAACATTATCATCTCCGCTTATTTCTTTCCTCCCCCCCCCCCCCCCAAACGTACTGAGTCACGCACCGTTTCAGCCTCATTTTAATGGCCTCAATCGGTATAGTAGTAATGACTAGACTACGGACTGGACGTTCGGTGTTCGATTCCCGACAGGGGCAGATGTTTCCTTCATTACCGGCTCTGAGGCCCACACATCCTCCACCCCCCCATACATTTTCTTGGCGTGGTGCTTAATTCAGCTCCAGAAAAACTTCACCTTCGCCTTATATGCTTACGTAAGGAGTACTGGTACCGATACCTAAAAGACAACGAACCATACCAAAGCCTGCCGTGGGGCACGATCCTGAACCACTTCCACCCATTTTCCATCAGATCCATCCAATCCTAGGTCTTGAGTTTCCTTGATTAATAACCAGCTGACATCAGCACAAGTCACGGTAGACTGTTATTTATAACACTTCCACGGCTGAGTTGACCAAGAGTTGGGAATATTTTACCACAGTAGAAAATGAGTCATTCACAGTTAGCAGAATGTGACGAAAATCGTTCTGATGTCACATGAAATTTCACCTCGCAGACGCTCCTAGTGAGTCAGGACGGTGGCAGCTGCACGAGACTCGGTGTTACCAGAATGACATCGGTTAAAATCTGTTTCAGTAGTCAGGTTTGACATGCATACTAACGAAATTAGGTTGATGATTTCCGGTCACCAATTATCGGGTCTCTTGGATTATATCATGAAGCAGGCAGGCCTCTAAGATAACTACAGAGGAAAGTTTACATTCTGTTGGTAAATTTAAATACTTCAGATGTTTGTTATGTTAGACTTATCGCAGTCAGTCAGTGGTTAACTTACTTTCAAAATTGTTTGTTAATTCGTTCAGTACCAGAATATTAACAATGTCATTGAAAAAATAGTACATTTTATTGAACATTTGAATACGAAATTTTCCAGTGGGGTGTCGGGCATTTGCAGTGACAGTGTTAATGAAAAAGAGGAATGTTTGTTGTTCTGTTGCATATTTTTGAGAGTAATATTCGTGGAAGGAGATGAATGAATTCTTAGGAGTTAAGAAGCACCTCTTGCCACAAATCCAGTTCTTACCTCAAAGAAAATACGACTCTTCCATTACGAACTTGAAATACTATATGCATGCAGACTCAAAATGCACAGTTGCTGATTGTGAAAGCAGGTGGCACATAAAAGTTATCACTGGCCGCTGATATATTTCCCGTGTCATCGACGGAACTTCTACGTTTTTCTGTACTTTAGTTAAGTTATCATTTTTCGAAAATTATGGAGACCTTGAAGACTTCACCCATAAATGAATCATTAACTTAGTTTACCAGTTTATTTAATGGCGATGTCGCATCTGATAAATAGGTTTTTAGTGCCGGCTGGCTGAATAATGACATGGGATTAAAAAAAGTCGCTACAAATTTTAGGGTTTGTATTTGTATGAGTTGCAGACTACTTACGTCTCAGATGCCACTAAATTAACACTCCTGTATGACGTATCCGCATATAATGGTATCTCCTCCTCCAAATTCACCCACAAAAGATTTGACCGGGTCTCACATTCTCAGTACGCATTATACAGGCCTAATGGGCGTTTAAGTGAAGTACCGAACATTGTAACTTGCAGCCAGTTTTTCGGAAGGTATTTCAAGGGAAAAGGTGCGAATTGCATCCTAGAAGATACACCACAAGGAAGTAATAAGCAACTTGGCTCGTTCTTGCAGTAACAGCTCAAACGTGTCTGTACGCCTACGGTATGCAGTAATTGTCAGACCACACGATTTCACGTTCGCTACAGATCACGTTTTCGTTGTTACTCGCGGCCTTTTTCGCAAGAAAAAGAAAAGGAAATGTGCACAAAATGGCATGAAATTTGGACTGTTGTGTTTCTGAAAACACCCGCGAAGAGATGGAAAGCTGTAGTTATCAGTTATTTCTGGTCGCTATGGTTTCCCCACCCACTTCGACGTGATGTAGCATCTTGCACGACAACTGCGCCGTCTAGCCTATTTCTTTCAATTAACCTTTTTTAAAAGTTTCTCCTTCTTTCGCGGATTGGAGAAAGTTCATGGTATGGAGGCCCGTCCGTCACGCTCTGGGACAGTTTCATTCACTTGGCCGATCACCTGCACCTCCACAGAAATAAAATTGAGTAAACCACCGTTATAACACATTGCAACTTGTTTCGACACAAGGCCTCATGTTTACTTTAGGTCTGCAATAGTCCATGTACCCTTCCCCACGGAGATGTACAGGGAATGTAGAGGTAAAGGCCCATAGCTTCTGGACCAAAAATTATCTAATGCAAAGCAAAGCGGGCGCTGAGGCAGAGGTACAAAACATTATAGATCCATGTCGGATTTGAGGTTTTCACGGCGATGAGTCTGAAGAGTCTCATCGCCCCGATGATGGAGGCAGCAGGGACAACTGAAACGTCGGTAAACCTCTACCAGACTGCACGGCGTAACAAGCCAGGAGACAACCATCTTCATTATAGATCCAGCTCCTGCAATTAATGAAGCCACGAATAAGAGTAGAGGGCGTGTAGGTGAAGATCCACGCAATCTAGACCTCGGCCGTCCTGCGCCCGATAGTTATGCCATGCCGTGAAGGAGCCTGCTGTGGGCTAGGAGTATAGATCAACGAATTCTAAGACGACGACACTTAAAACTGGTCGGCTTCACGCGCAGACCACTTAACCCCTGAGGAAGAACTGGTAGCTTTCGGATGGGAATGTGTGTGGGTGGAATGGATCTAAAATTATGAATGAAGGGTTTTGTATCTAAGGTGAAATCAATGCAGACAACCTCTAGTTATCTGAAATCTTTAATACCAAGTCCGCCATTGGACGCTGTCTCTCGCAACTCATTTCCCTAACGTCATTTTGGTTTCTAATATTATCCTCTACCCAACTGGCCTTTAAGACGTTTTACCAGTAAAATTCTGAGCGTATTTCTTTGTTATCCTTTGTATTAGCTACATGAAATGAATATTATTACCCCTTTACGTCAGTTGAGAGCCCGTTGTTTGAAAACAAGCTTTGTTATTGCTGTATCAATAACTGTAATACTGCAGATGTTATATTAATGCCTGATCTGGCGGGAGGGGTTGATATTTAAATAGGGTATAAACAGCGTGGTGAAAGTTCCCACGGAGCCAGCCCGCCCTTCTATGTCACTTAATATAAAATGCACTAATAATACCCATAGACTATCTACACACAAGCTGGTCCGTCTGTCCGGCTGTCTGTCCTCATGCATCAGATGAACACCTGGCATCTCAGCGAGAATGACTTGAAGCTGGGAGCGGCTGGGGGCGAGGGGGGAGGGGTTGGGACCTCAATAACGGTCATGGGACCATCTGCAGCGCAACACGTGCAAAACTTTGTGTTCATTTGAAACAATCTTA